ATGCAGCCCGGGGCACGGTTGGCTTCTGGGCTGCCAGCGCCCATGGCCGGCTCCTGGCCAGCTTTTCATCCATCAGTGCCCCCAAGCCCCTCTGGGCAGGGCTGCTCTCCATCCCTTCACCCCCAGCCTGTGTGGGTACTGGGGGTTGCCCCCACCCAGGGGCAGGACCTTGCCCTTGGCCTTGTTGAACCCCACGAGGTTCACACGCCCCCACCTCCCCAGCTTGTCCCGCTCCCTCTGGATGCCATCCCGTCCTTCTGGCGTGTCAACCGCACCCCCCAGCTCGGGGTCATCTGCAAACTGGGCTGAGGGTGCGCTCGACCTCGCCGTCTGCGCAGGGCTGGGCAGGCTGTCCCCCCCTCTGCTCCCCATCCCAGTGCCCGGCGTTTCCTCTCCCCTCCTGCTTCTAAAAGTGCCTTTTCACGGTTATTTCTGGGGTCAGGAACTGCTGCGCTGCTTCCCTTGGAGGAGGGGTGCAAAGGGCTCCCCGCTTTTCTGGGTGTAAGCTGAGGTGCGGGAGAGGGGTTGGGGACAGGCGGAGATGGGGTGAAGGTTGTACTTCGGGAGGACAGTGCTCGAGGCGGCGGGGGGAGCCTTGGCACTGGGAACGCTGAACCGTACCGGGTCGTGGTCACAGCTCCTTGCCTGCCGCTCCTAAAGGCTGGCGATAAGGGTGACACGGGGAAGCTCCGCGCCGCTCACCTCGCCGGTCTCCTCCCGGCACGAGCCACGTGGGCTCCTCTGCTCCCCACCCAAAACTGTCCCTGTCACCCACTGGCAGCAGGTGATAACGGGGGGAGCATGTCCTGCCCCAAGCCGGGGGGGGTCGATGCTTTGTCACCTACCAAAGCCACAGCTCTGTGCCACCACCAGCAGTGGGAGTCAAAGAAAAAAGCCTAGGAGGAGCTGAGCGCTCATGCAGGGATGCCTGGTCCTCCTTTCCACCCCTAGGGGATCCCCAGCAAAACCAGTCCAGCTGTGCCTGTGTCAAACTGGTGTGACTGGGTTCTGGGCAGGGGCTGGGAGGATTTGTGCCATGGGAGAGGCCAGCGTGCCCTTCCCCTGCGCTGAGACCTCCGGGCTCACGAGTTTAGGAGGTGGCTTTTTCTGGCCCAAGCTGGGACAAGGCGCAGTCCCAGGAGGGGCAGCGTGTGGCGGTGGGCACGCAGGCACGGAGGCTTCCCCAGGTGGGATCCCGGCGCTCAAGGGAGCTTTTTGGAAGCGCCCCTGGGAGGGCAGGATTTGGCAAACGGAGGGGCGCAGCTCCGCCGCTGCAGCTCCTCTCCTCCACAACGCGCAGCCTTTCGATGGAAACACCCGTGGGGGTGAGGGTCCGACCCCGGGGGAGGCGGGCTCTGAGGAGGAGCGATGAGCACCGCAGCCTTCCCAGCAACCCGGCTTCATCTCCCTCGCTTTGGCTCCTTTGCAGGGACGTGGTGGAGGCGCTGGCAAGCCCAGCCTGACCCCGTCCCACCTCACGGGGATGCAGGTAGCGCAGAGCGGCCGGGGACGCAAGCTCGCTTGGCTTTTTGGAGAGATGGGGCTTGAGCAAGAGCACAGTTTGTACTCGGCTGAACTTCCCTTCCAGCTTTTTCCCCAAAATAACTTAGGCCGCCTTGTCCAGCTCGAACCAGTTTTGACAGGGGACTGGAGATGGCCAAAATATTAAGTGCTTGCAGCTGCCGTAGGAGAGGGACGATGCCCAGAGGAGGGATCTCCCTTTAAACGTGATGCCAGCGACGCACCACGCGGACCTTCAGGCAACGAGTTGTGTGACCGTGGGGCCCTCGGCTTTGCCAGAGCCAGCTCTGCCCTCGGTGGGGAAGGTTGGGACGGCTCCTGTCCCCACCACAAATGCTGGCGCCCCCGAGCTGGAC